TCTCTCTCTCTCTCTCTCTCTCTCTCTCTCTCTCTCTCTCTCTCTCTCTCTCTCTCTCTCTCTCTCTCTGTGTGTGTGTGTGTGTGTGTCTGTCTCTGTGGTGAAAGGTCAGTCAGTCATCGTCTGGGAGGTTCTCGAAATGTCAAACTGACCCTTCGCAGCTTTAGGAGTCAGTCCCTCAGACTCCGAAAGGTAAAGCATCCCTAGTGTAGTCAGCAACTACAGTCCCGGTCCTAGTCTAGTCAGCAAAGTACAGTCCCAGTCCCAGTCTAGTCAGCGAGTACCAAGTGGGACTGCACATCCTACAGGCCTGGGACATCCGGCAGGCCCAGACCACCTAACAAAACAGTATAAATAAAGAGGCAGCGACCAGCCATTGATTCATTCGCCTGCGAGCTGTGTGGAAGCGCTGTCCAAGTGACTTGTGCGTTGAAGTTCGCCGGTGGTCAGCCAGTGCCTGAAGGTGGAAGAGGGTGAGCGGCCAGTGTGTGTGTGTGTGTGTGTGTGTGTGTGCTCGCGTGGACATTCAGGGTAGATCCTATTGCGTGTGTACGTGTGTGTGAGTGAGTGGAGAGAGTCTGATGGTGGATACAGTGTGCAGGTGGGAATTTCAGACTGGCGCTCAGACACCATAGCCACACGATGTGACAAATTGACTTGAGATGAGTCCCTGGCTGAAGGCCATAACTCTTGAGTTTTCTGCCATCGGTGGGTGCCCTGTGACATCTCACTCTTGTTGCTGATCCTACTTCGAAGAATTTGTTCTGCCATCGGCACCTGCATGTATACATGCTGAAAGTCAAGTTGAAGTCAAGTCTGATTGCATCGGCAAGGATTTGCTCAATCTTCATGTCTGAAACAACTGCATGGACGTCCCATGTGTTTGCTACTTTGCAGTTTTGCATCCTTTTGTTCGTCTTTGCGTCGTCTTTCTTGTTCGTCATACTCTGTACTTGAGTCTGCGAGTGTGCATAATCTTACTTTGCAAGTTTGTCTCGTGCCTCTGTCGGTCAATTCAGGCTCTTCTTGCAAACATGGCGGCCATGTATGGAGTTTACCACGGGCCAGAAGGTTTGAAGAGCATTGCTGAGCGCACACATGGACTGGCTGCAGTGTTTGCAGCTGGAGTGGAGAAATTGGGAGCAGGAAAGGTGGGATCTGCTCCCTTCTTTGACACCGTTAAAGTGGACTGTGGACCTGGGAAAGCAGTGGGTATCGCCAAAGCTGCGGAGGCGAAGGGCATGAACCTGAGAGTGCTTGATGCCAACACTGTACGTTTTTTTTTCTCTCCCCTCTCCGCGCCTTTCACACCCTTCCCCCCCTCCCTCCGACCTCCGCTTCCCAAAAAGGATCCTTCAAAAGATAACAAAATAAAAGATCTGAGCACTTGAAGGTCACCCAGACAAGTGGCTCAGCTGCTGAAATTTTAACAGGGTCAATAGACCCAGAAGCCCCTTTGGTAATTCTTCAAGATCCAGGCCCCGTATGCACGATGAGATCAAAAGCATCAGAAGAGCCACTGCAGTTTCCGGACGGCAGGCACGACTCGTATCCATTGCATGGCATTGATGATATTGGTGATGAATGGATGACGACGGCTACGTGCGCTGCCAGACCGGCATGAAAAGCAGTAGGTTTTTTTAGGCTCCTAGCAAGCGCGGGGGACCTTGCTGTATTTCCTTGCTAGTCTAGTATGTCTCCCTCCGCATTCTATGTTGAGTGGCTTAACGCGATGTCATTTCTCGCTTCCACAGGAGGCTCCCTTCTGTTCCTGTTGTTGTGAAACCTCGACGCTTTTCAGTTCCCTCAGCACCTAAGTGAATCCGCCGCCACATTGGTCCTGTTGCTGCTCATTTATGTCTGTCTCTGTGGCCCTGCCCCTGCCCCTGCCCCTGCCCCTCCCTCCTCCCCACTCCTACCCCTCCTGCCTCCCCCTGCGCTCCCCACCCCCAGGGAGTGAGCCATCTCTTCTGTTATGTGGTTTTCTACCATGGTTGTGATTCTCCCGTGTAGCAGCGAATCCTGTGTGAAGTGCTGTTTATCTCTACGATGAACGGATCTGAGTTCTCATGGCGGGCTGCTGCATGTTGCTCCGTTTATAACCGATCCCTGTTTCCACCAGCTCTTGTACCTGGGTCCAGGCCCGTTGCTTTGTTGAGCTTGAGCCCGGCTATTGACTTTGAAGTCTGAACACCACCTTTCCCTTTCAACCTTAGTATGGATTCCCTGATCAGATGGAACAAAAACTTGGTGCTCCTGCATGAAAGGGGGGGTAATATGGATGGGTCATGGATAACGGAATTGCAAAGGGGTAAGAACTTAGAAGGGAAAAGGGTAAAGAGGCGAAACGCCAAACTTCCAGAACCACAATGCTTCTTGGCATCGTAGCAGAAACCGCTTCTTGGCATCTTCGCAGACAACATACCAAATGCCTTGACCATCTAGTCTAGACTCCAGAGTTAATTTCTGGGTTGGGGTCCTTGTCTTTTAGGCCCACACAAACTTGATTATATCCTCAAAGATACAAGCCGTTGTCTTTAATCCTTACATACCCAGCCCCATGCCCCTGGATCAAACTCTAGTTCTGACATGTTACTATGTTGCTAAAAGACTGCTCATGGTTTTACCTTTTTACTTTTGAGGGCCTGATTTTTCTGAGGGAGGTATGTGTCAGGGTTCAAATTGAGATAGGTAGATAGAGAGCGAGAGAGCTCGAGTGAGTGTGTGTGTGTGTGTGTGTGTGTGTGTGTGTGTGTGTGTGTGTGTGTGTGTGTGTGTGTGAGAGAGAGAGAGAG